AGCCCTGGCCTATTCACCAATCCTATATCCTCGTATCACCCGTTCACTATCAGAATTTCTTATTTTAACGTGATATGGTGTGCCCTTTTGAGCGGTTTTCATGAGAACTCTCTGCATCCCACACTGGCTTTCTCACCCCCTCACCCTTGTGCTGAGAATGTTGATCTGAGTCTGCCTTACTATTGCGCAATCTTCTTCCCATAGGTATTATCAGAGTCGCCCTCTTGCATCGTAGGATCCGCCTTCTCCCTTCCTGGTTCAGGTAGTTCATTTGACCCCTGCTACCCTTTCTGTAATATTGGAAGCATTATTTCCCAGACTGTCTCAAGCCTTTGGTGGCACGCACACTCCCGCCTTTTTAAGTAGGCCCCTACAAATCAGGATTCTCAAACTGGATGGGAGACTAACATGAGGCTAAAGATCCCAAGTAATTCTCATGGTCAAACCTTTGCTTAGTGGACCATGTCTATGATCAAGCATGTCTACTGTTATGGAGAAAAGCTAGGTTTCAAAGAATCCCTTAATAGGTTGATGTTGGAGTACCTTTCAGTTCGTTTGAAGAGGCGAATGGAAGGGATTCGTAAGTTCACTCTACCTGAGGTTGTGAGGGCTTGCCTTTGAGCTGTGGTTGTAGATTTGTGCAAATAGGTCCTCCGTGCACTGCCGAGCGGCCCCGATGAATCCATGTTGAGCTTTCGCCCGTCATGTGACGGACATCGTCAGACCAGGACACCATGCTTAACGGTAATTCACCAAAATGACGAAGGCAAGAAAGATGGCCGGCTTCAAACCTACTTCCTTCTTATAGTCCCATTTGGTTCACTTAGGCACCTCATGTTCTGGTTGGATGTCCAGTGCTTTGCCTCTATATTTGCTCATAAGTTAAGGTAAGTGGCTGCGGATGATATGAGAAGTGGCTTCAGATGAAGCGTGAAATGAGGGCAATTGAAACCGAGCAGCAGCATCCTCCCCTAAAACACGTATGCCTTTGATTCTGCAATGTTACTGCATGTGATTGCGTCCCATTGCACACGTGTTGTGTGAGTGCATTTCTCCTGAAATAAGTGTGATGTGATAAGGGGGAAAACGAGTTTACGCCAATTATTGGCAAGCACTCTTAATTCGGCAGATTTCTCTAAGTTACAAAGAATGGCGGACAGATTGTATGATATTGTTTTTCGACAGGTTAGTTTCAGATATGATAAGAAACTTACGAATTTGGGTATAGAAATCAAGACAAAGGCTAATACAAATACTTCTATTAGAGACAGTAGTGAGCAAAGGATAGTTGGGGAGAAAGTGGTAAATCTCTCCAAAACTGCCTTGAACTTTACCACCGAGAAAGTGCTATCGAAAGGTTAGTACTTAGTGGTACTTATCGTTCCCTCCTCCCTCTCTTTAAACTACCTGAACCAGGAAGGGAGAAGGCTGATCCTACGATGCAAGAGGGCGACTCTGATAATACCTATGGGAAGAAGATTGCGCAACAGTAAGGCAGACTCAGATCAACATTATCAGCACAACGGTAAGGGGGTGAGAAATACAGTGTGGGATGCGGAGAGTTCTCATAAAAACCGCTCAAAAGGGCACATCATACCACGTTAAAATAAGAAATTGAGAAATTGTGATAGTGATCGGGTGATACGAGGATATAGGATTGGTGAATAGGCCAGGGCAGAAGGAGAGATACCACAACTATTTAGCAGACAATTTGTTAGAGGATCGGCTTCACTTGTCTCTTTGACGAGTTGCAGGCTAGCAAAGCTCGCTGGCGATGCCGGCGAAACGTCTGGGTATGTTCCACGTCCACGGTCCGACTCTGGAAGTTATCATGCATATTATAGACTCCGGGCTAGATGCGTTCCTCTATGTTTTCTTACCAATATGACCAAGTTGCATAAACAAGGTCAAACAACTTCTATACATGAAAGGAGACTGCGACTATACAAGTCCCACCCCATCTTGTTTTTAATACATTATATTAAATATCTTTTTTCTTTTGATTTATGATGCACAGGTCAGACAAGCTTAAAACGGTTTTCAGAACACTCCAGCATGTCCTTCATTATCCTCCACAAGTTTCAAGTGACTTAATATCACTACATATTCCGTCATGTATTTTCCTTCAGTTTACCAGATAAAAGCCTACATATTGTGTCATAGGCAAGATATATCTATGACAGCTGCTTGTGAGGACAATGATGCCAGAGACGAATGGACTTTTCCAATTCTATGAGTCATTAGCAGGCCGGTTAACAGCCTGGTCCGATTAGAATGAAGCAAATTATACAAAACATTTCGGCTTCGTCGCTTTTTTCCTATTTATAATTTACCAATGAGCCTATAACCTTTTCTAGCCAAGGCATCCTAAAACGAAATATTTAATTTTTCTACTTATGAATCAAAATATATATATGATCAGGCCATTCTTATAGCTTACCAAGGCGATACGACGGTTCTTATTTTACTTTGCGTGTGGCTGGATCGACCAGATACCTCAGAAATCGACATCAAAGTCTCTTCTCTACCCGAAATATTGGCTGAGAGTGTATGCTGCTTGTCTATTGTGATTTGAGGTACCAGGCTGTAATTCTCCTTAATTAAGGATGGAATATGCTGTATATTTGATGCTATACCATTTCGTCCTCCTATACCGACATTCTGCCAGGTATTCTGGGCTGTTTGGACTCCAGAAATATTTGGAGGCCCTGTTAACTTGGCTGAAGAATGAGGGCTTTTGAGTTGTGGTAATCGGGAATTGTTTCTCCTACTTGCATGGATGCTTCTAGTTCTCGAAATAATGTTGTGCTGAATATGCCATGGCAAGCTAGGATTAGGACGTTGCATTCGGAGTTGCAGTAGCTGAAATTTATAGAGATAAATAAAAGATGGGGTAAGGATAAATTTTGATTGTAATTAGAGGACATAACTGGTTAGTTTTCGAGTAAATACTTTTTATATCACAACTTGCGCTTAACTTTAAACATGACAAGATTGAGCTATATAGAAAAGTTTATGGTTCATTAAAATGACTCAAAAACATGCAAAAATCTAGCAAGGGATTGCACAACGAGTCTTAAGGCCAGACTTATGGAATAGCTTAACGAGGGGATGCTATGCACCTTCAGTTCACATCATTTCTAAGATACACAAGGAGGGAATCCCTTTAAGATTGATTTTCAATAAAAAATAGGGTGTGATGCCTACGATTTCACGATTTTTATGTAGACAACCAAAAAGGCCGAGTTTGGGAAATATTCAGTCAATAATCCATATGAATAGCAAGTTTGATGAGGCCAAACTAGATTTTCCACAAAAGAGCACACATTTTGATGAGTGGAATGTAAACAAGTGAGAAGTTGTGATAGGGCGGCAGTGGGATAAGAGGATAAAGAGTAGATTGATAGGCCAGGACAGAAAAGAGGAACGATAGTATAACCATTTTGGGCAGAACGTTTGTCGAGTAATTGACTTCACTTGTCTCTTTGAGTTCGTAGCTTGGTGCGGAGAATGGCAAAACTCACTGATGATGCCGACTACGATGCCGGCGAAATGTTTGAAAATGTACCAAGTCCATTGTCTGATGCTAGGAATTATGATAACTACTATGGCAGAGGACTGTAGACTAGGTGCGTTCTACTAATTCCCGCTGACAACGAGATCAAGTTGCGACAACCAAGTCAACCCACTTTTAGTAAAAATTTACGTTTATTCCACTTATATTCTTTGTTTCTCTAAAGTCCTAAAATACAGAAGAAAAAATAAGAGTATTATATACTCATAGTAGGCAACTTCTATTATATTCGAATTCCCCTGTTTTATATGAAGTTTAGTCGTCCTTATTTCAGCGAAATATCTAAGCTTAAAAAAGCGTTTCGAATAAGTTAATCAGTGATACTTTTTTTCATACCTTAACTGTTTGGCCTCTTATAATACGGTTATTATGAGATTGTTGCTGAGATAAATTTGTCTTTTCTCACTTCAATCTACTACTCTACTCACAATAGCAATGCATATGTTATAGTGTTGATACGTCTTGAACAAGTGCTGGAGTGATGCCCGGGCATAGTCAAAATTCGATAGTATTGTGAGGAATTTATCTTAGTCGAAAAATTAAACTATCAGCCCTTCACCAACTTAT